CTACAAAATTCCCTAAATTGATAGTGGGACAGGTAGCTGCATACAGACTCACTGCTATCCAGTGTGACGATGGGCTGTGGAGTCCTTTTCCTTTGACTTGGGAAAAAACCAGTAAATTCATTATGGGATGATTATTCAAAGGGAGCAGGTCCAAGGGAATAGCATAGACCATAAGGGAACATTACAAATGATGCAGTGAAAATCAAAACGTGATTGAATATGCTGATACTTTTTAGTGAATGATGACTCTTTTAGCTATATCATTTGAACTAAAATACCCATTTATACATTTGACACGTTAATTGTTTTATTTTGTTCTGTTTTTTAAAAAAGGATCCTAATGTTGTAGCAAACAGCACAGTACCTGGCGCATAGTAGGCACAAAGTATCCTTTAGTTATTACATGATTTGAAGTCAACCTTGATGTTGAAATTTACCATTTATCCTGGGCAAGAGAATTTACAACTTGTTCTCCCCAGAGGCTCAAAATCCAGTTACATCATACAGATCATTAATAGTCACACATGGTGTCCTAAAGGGATAGAGAGTTGGAATCTAATGACAATTACTCCCATTAAAAGTGCTTATGAATGGGGAGGCTGTGTTACCTGTGTTTCCTTTGCTTTTCCCATTGGAATATGCCTTATGTAATCCATCAATCAGGAGAATTAATGGTGTGACTAGCAATTCAGGCCATACAGAGATAATCAAGGCATCATAAATCGTGTTAGAGCAAATATAGCCTGCAAAATGGGACTGCTAGCACAGCAATCAAATTTCAAAACTGCCTGCCTACACTAAAAACTGTGTCAATAATGAAGAGCAAAGGTGAAAAGAGAAAATGTCATCTAGGAAAAAGTGTACCAACTATTAGGAACAGAGGGTGGAACAGATTTGGGGGGTCTTCTGGGAGGAAAAGTGAGACACCTTCAAACAAAGGATCTGTGTAAACACGCTCCCTCCGCCTCCCCAATCCTCACTGCTCAGTGCCTTGAGCTGTCTCTACTGAAAATGTCAGCATTTAGTCTCTTACTGCATTTGGTAGGATTTACTATCTCTTCAGAGCCATACACTGGGCACCTGTCTTACAGCCATTCTCTTTGTTCTTACATTCTTATTTGTTGCACCTTCACTAAGGAGATTGCAATTTCAGATAGCTAACTTCCTAGCCTGCCATACTTACAACCAAAGCCTGGATGAAAGAATTTGAAAGGAATTCTGCTTAAGACTTCTGGAGAAAGTTACCTTTCCTGATAAAAACATAGTCACTGCTTGCCTATCTATCCTGGGATATTGCTGTGAAAGGACATACTGTCTGGGGCAGTTGCGGTTATCCTGAACCTAATGAAGGGGCCAAATAAATTGATCTGTTAAACTGCCCCTAGGAGCACCCAACTTTAGCTCTCTTGGGATATGAGTAAATAAAGGTTCTTGTCCTTCAAGCCAGTGCTTCTTAATCTTTACCGTGCATACAAATCACTTGAGGATTTGTTAAATTAAGTTTCCGATTCAGGAGGGCCTGGGTGGTGCCTAAGAGTCTATATTTCTAACAGACTCTCAGGTGATGCCCAAACTGCCTACATAATCGGGTAACACATATTTCAGCCACTTTTAAGTTTGCGTTGAGTTACTTGAAATCAGATACATACTAAGTGGCAACACTGAATAGTGAGGGACTTGGAAGTTTAATCCAACCTAAAGGTATGCATGATGAAGCTTAAGAATTTACCAGCTAAAAAATTCATAGATAGGATTATCACATATGAGGGCTTTGAGGTCATTATGGTCTGTGTTCAAATCCTGGTTCTGTCGTTTACAAACTGTGTGACCCTGTAGAAAATCATTTAACCTCTCTGAATCTTGATTTCATCAAATAAGTGTCTGTCTCATATGGTTGGTTTGGGCATTCGGTGAGATTATATGACAAAAAGCCTAGGTGTTGAACATATCTGAGTTCCTCTTCTATTGATGATTTTGCATTTCTGTATTGTTAAGCTTCACTCATGCCAAAGATTACTTAGTTAAAATGGTACAATGTCTGATAGAAGACAGATTGTGATAATTAGCCTAGAGACTTTCCTTCTCAAGCTGCTCTATCAAAACCCTGTGATACTTGTATCAGACTATCTTAAACTTAATTGGAAATCTGAAAGAAAAATAATCAAAATTGTACTTCGATATGACTTTTTTTTTAATTTGCCTTGTCTTTGATGAGAAAGGGGATTTTTTAATTTACAGACTCTTTTACAAAATTGCTGGAATTTTGCCAAATGAAGTGACTGTTAGCAGATTTGATCAGTGGTAAACAAAATCTATTTCCTATAGTAATAGAAAAGTGGGAAGTAATGCAATTTTCCTAAGTCAGATTGCAAATGGGATTGTGGATGCCAGTTATGGCTCTAAATGTTGTAACATGCTTTCTGGATTTTAATGTTTGAAGACTAGGTGGAGTTTTCATGTTTACAAGCCTGGGTGCTTTGATCAACATAATGTTTTTGAATGCCCCTTGGAATGATTTTGGAATGTTCTTGGCATAATGTCAGAGCAAGGGATTTTACTAATGATATCCTAGGCATATAGACATTGTCTTCTCGGCAAGGGTTTCCATGGATGGGAATAATTCTCGTGTATCTCTGATCAAAAACAAAGTATATTTTAAATATTACATAAGTCCTCTTGACATCAGGGAATCCATGTAGCTTCAAATACGGGTATAGATACACTAGCCTATCATTTCCCTTTCAGTGTTATTGCTATAAAATCATTCTCAAAAATATCTGGAACTGTATATTTAAATATTCAGAATCCTTTGTCAGATGAAACCTTTCCTACCTTTATAAAGCAGAATGGCTGAGAACAGGGGCTTCTCAGATGGCTAGAGCTAGGTTTAGGCTATTCATTCATTAGTTATATAAAATGTGGGTGCCTTACATACTCCTCTCAGACTGCATTTTCTTTTTTTCTTTTTTTTTTTTTTAAGGTTTTATTTATTTGACAGAGAGAGAGACAGCGAGAGAGGGAACACAGGCAGGGGGAGTGGGAGAGAGAGAAGCAGGCTTCCCGCGGAGCAGGGAGCCCGATGCGGGGCTCGATCCCAGGGTCCTGGGATCATGACCTGAGCCGAAGGCAGACACTTAACGACTGAGCCACCCAGGCGCCCCATCAGACTGCATTTTCTTATCTGTAAAATGGGAATCAGGGCATGTTGAGAAGTTTAATTTGATAATAAAAGTAGAACACTTGGTACATGCTTGGTGCTTAGTAAGCATCCAGGAAATTTTAGGTAAAAGCAGCTTATTCTAAACTGAAAAGGAAGCACTTCTTTATTCTCATTTTGTTTGTTCATCCTTGTGGTAAACTCCTGTGGGCAAAAAGCTTTCCCCAGAAAATAGGGCCTGATGCATGTTTATTTTATTTTGAGAAATGATTCTAGGAGATACAAGTGAGGAACTGAGCCAAGTGGAATGGGGAAGGGGCAAACAGAACAGTGTTTCTGCCCACAGTCAGCTGTGGGCAGCTGAGTCTCATGGGGCATTCTAAGGAAAGAAAATGGGGGGGAGGGGAACGCCTGGGTGGCTTAGTTGGTTAAGTGTCTACCTTCCACTCAGGGAATGATCCCAGGGTCCTGGGATCAAGTCCCACATCAGGCTCCTTGCTCAGCGGGAAGCCTGCTTCTCCCTCTCCCTCTGCCTGCCGCTCCCCCTGCTTGTGCTCTCTCTCTCTGTCATATAAATAAATAAAATCTTTAAAAAGAAAGAGAAAGAGAGAGAGAGAGAGAGGGAGAGAGAGAAAGAAAATGGGGAACATATACTCAATTGCTCCTCTCTTCCATTAACTGGGTTTCAGTGTGGATACGTATTAACATCCTCATGTAGATTCGTAATGCATAAGTGATGAGTGTTGGTTCCAGTAGAGAGCTAACGTTACTTCAGAGAATCCCCAGAACAGAAAGTGAGAGTGCAGCCGAGGGGTCAGGTTTTATTTATGCACTACTTATTGCTGTATGATGTGAAGATGGGGAGAGCATTTGAGGAGGGACACGAGGTATTTCATACATGATTCTTTATACAAACCATGTGCCCTCAATGACTTTGAAACTTGAGAGCAATTCAGTTCCAGATTCTTCTGTTTCAAAGCCTACCGCTTGACAAATAATTCCCTGTATGGTAGAGACCAATGTTCTGGTCACCTCATTCTAGTAGATCTACAACTGGAATGTGCAGGACCCTCAAAAGTAATTTCTATATTAAACATCCAGTCAGAAAAGACACACTGTCAGGGTGAACCGAGAACCATGTTTTTGTTTTTGAGACCCAGGTTTTGAAGAGCATCTTCCTTTAGTTTCCAGGAAATTCAAACAGATCCCATGGTCTCTTTAGTCTCTAGCTGTTGAATTAGAGATCTCAATGGAGGCAGTGGACATTAAAAAAAAAAAAAAAAAGAAAGGAAACAACACTTTTCTCTTTTAAAATAGTTTCAAAAAGTTATGTGTTTATGGATGATTTGATACTGCTTACCTGTTTTTGTTGAATTTTTTATTTTATCTTGAGTTTTTTAACTTTAAAGGGCAAATCACACTTGAAAAGCTTGCTGCTGGAGTTCTAGGAAACCCTCAATGCACAAATTCACATGAAATAGTTGGATATAACCAAAGGCAAATATATAAAGGACAAAGTTCAGTTACGTGATTCCTTTAATAGTTGGTGTCTGTGTAGGTGAGCATTCCCTTTTCTAAAGTGGCCCAATGATTAAAACTCAAAGAATCATGGAGATGAAAAATTTCCACCTTCCTATTAAACAGTATGTCTTCATTTGAGATCCATTTAGCCTTTAAGGTGAAAGTGGGTTCCAGACAAATGTCTTTCACATTAGAAACTGTATTAAATTAATTGAAAGATAGATAAACATTGATAATAGTAATAAAACAAGAGAAATGATGAACAGTAAAAGGTAAATGCTTTTAAAATGTTGCTCAAATAGACATTCAATAAAACCACATCTTTCAGACACCATAATTATTTGCATCATAAAAAACTCTAGTGGTTGAAATTTAAAATAGTGATTAAAAAGCTTCAGTTGGACTTCAAATCAGCCTAAAAAGAAATTTCCATCTTAATAAAATAGGCAAAACTTTCCTTTTAAACATTAAACTTATTTTTTAAAAAATGTGTTTACTATTCTTGAAAAAGACCTGAAATGGGTCTCTCAGAAAAGTGAGCCTTTCCCATTTTAAACTGAATCCAGCGGAGCAGTGAAGACACAATTCCAAAGCATCCAGAAGAAAAGTCGAATATCCAAAAAACAATTTATATGCTTCCAAATACCCAGAGTTGGGGGTTGATCCTTCAAGAAAATGGGAGAGTTACTGAGCAGTTCTGTGACATTTTTGAGTTTGCTCCTGGTGTCTTGATGTCATGAGAATCCAACCTGTCCTGAGGAATTTGAGAGAAACCACAAAAACAGTACACTGCCTAGGTTTATCTAAACTTCTAAGCTCGATTACAGACTTTCAGACATTTTCCGACAGATCCCTTAAGTCACCAAAGTGATTTTAGTCACCAAATTTAATATTCTCATGACTTAAATTTAATCTCATGACTTTAATCTCATGACTTAAATTAAATCTCATGACTTCATACCGTCAAGTTTATTTTACACTCTCATTTACTTACTACTGCAAGTCAATACAGCACAAGAATTAATGCATTTGTGCCTTCAACTCAAATTAAATAGCAAACACTGCTGTTTGAACTTTTTTGGCCAATGAATAAAAAATATTTCATTTCTAATTCTCACCAGAAGGATTTAAATTAAACAGTAACAGATGAAGTGAGCAGGCACAGAATACTAAATAGGAACTGGCAAATGAAATAATCCAGTTCTTTGCTTTTACAATGAAAATGAGAATTGATTCTGCATTGAGAGAGAGAAGTAAAATGACCAAGTGTTTTAAAAAAAGCCTTCTCCACCAAAAGAGCAAAATAGCACTCGGTGGCATTGCATTGTTAACAAAATTTCTTTATCAGAAACTATAATTTAATATTTAAGTATCTAATTTACATGTGACAAGGTATCATATTCAAAAAATTAAATTGCAACTAGAAAACTATTAACCACTAAAAACAATACCAAACACAACCCAAACATTTATAGGAAAGCAATAGCTAGAATCTGAATTGGAAAAAATGTTTCATCATTTTTGGCTCATTAAACAAAGCATCCATTATAGCCTGTAAAAGAGCATCTCTTCTAATTCATCAGAAGTTTATCCTTTGTAGCATGAATAACATGTAAAGATAGATTTATTAACTGTATATGCACACGTGTGTCTGTATATTCTGAGACACACTCGTGTGTTGATTTAAAGATACTGTATCTACTGATAAGTGGCTGAACTTTGGAAGGTGCTGAAATCCATATTTCTACATGACCTTTGACCCATTTAATAATGTCTTTTTATAAACAGAAATTACATAAAATACTGTTTTTTATTAACTGAGTATTTTCTTAAGCATAATAATAGACAAGGAATTGCACTTATTGTAAAGATACAGTAAGGTGTTAGGTTGCAGCTCAGCCATCAAAGATCAGGGATGTGGTACTGATAAGTATGCATCATATGCAAAGATGATGGTGGCCACCGAAATTAAAATGAGAGCAACTAGTTACAGAACAAATTGGGGGATAACAGAAGAAAACATGCACTACTCCTACTTTAATGCAAAACTAATTTCTCCCAGGAAACCAACCCTTTAACCTTCCTTACACAAAGAAACCGGTTCTGCACCCTTGGCAACACAGTAGACTAGGACATCTGTATTCAAATTCTAGTTCATTGTCTCTGAGTGTGCTGTTCCAGTGTCATCTCCTTAAGCTGCCCTTGAAATTCTGGAGCATGTACAATATTACAGTCTCTTGGTTAGGTTTCATTGAGCCTCAAGATCCCCTTCAGTTCTATATAAATAGGGTCCATTATTCATCTTCCTCTGGTTCCTGTGGTAACACAGGGATTTCTTCCTTTAAACAATCACTGAAGAATCTGAGGATTGTGTTGTAGAGATGATACTTGCTCTTCTCAGATACATTATGGCCTTCATCTGGGTAGACCTAACATATTGAGGGGGAAAGAGAGTGAAAGTTACCAAAACAGATACTGTCCCTCAAAATTCATTCCTTTAGCCCCAGTGGCAAGGGAACTTTGGAAAGTAATATCTGACCAAAATCTAACCTAATTTAACTCTGGGTTTTTTGTGCTAAACTTTTCTCTCTTTTTTAATTACAATCCTGTAGTAATAATTGAGACAAACTACAGCTTTTTATGTATTTAAATTAGAACTAGGTTGGAAAAAGTAGAGCTTTCTATGTTCCTGTTGACCAGGACAGCATTAACATTCCCCTTAATTTGACTAAATTTAAGACCCATTTCTTCCTGACTCTAAGGCCTTGACCTTTCTTCTCTTAGAGCTATTTTAGAAAACTTGCGATTGTAAATTCTCTGCGCCTTTGTATGTAAATCTTCTTCCAGTCTTGCCAGTTCTACAATTTAGGAAATGTCTTTGTCAAGGACCTAAAAACCATCTCTCTGAAATGTAAATATTGAAGGGGAGAGCAGCCCTCCCTGTGGGAGGGTAGAACGCATGCTCCACATTGTAAAACTACCTCCTGTCGTAAACAGGAAGTTTACTTTTCCATTTGGTAAGGTGAACTACCCACCGCAGATGGCCTATGATTCCCTCCGCCCCAGTTACTGTAAACTCCCCAGCCCTGTGTTTCAACAGAGTTTAGTTTCTCTCCCCTCTTGCAATAGACTTAAATAAAGCCTGCCTTGTCTGTTTAACCTTGTCTGGTATAAGTTTTAATTTGACAGTGTCCCCTCTAATATAAATGACATAAGTGTTTGTTTCTAAAATTACAAAGACAGGTATTTGTCAATTCCTGGGTATAAAGTTTTTATTTCTTTAATTTTTTTAATTTTAATTTTTTTACTATTAAGATGACATCACTTTTATTTTTTCTTTTTTTAAATTCTTTTTCAAACTTTTTATTTTAATTCCAGTTAACATACAGTGTTACATTATTTTCAGATGTACAACACTGTAATTGATACAAAAATATGGAACATATTTCCATACAAAAAATATGGAACACTTCACAAATGTGTGTCATCCATGTGTGGGGGCTGTGCTAATCTTCTCTGTTTCGTTTCAGTTTTAGTATATGTGCTGCCAAAGTGAACACCTGCCTCAATGATCTAAATAAAGCCCCCTACTCCTTCACATTGTTTGTGGCATGATCTATTACTGTTTATTTCTACATCTTCTTCATTCATCATTCTGACCCTGGTACCTGTGCTTATAGATAAGTTGAACTACTTTTGGTTCTTTCAAATGCTGAGAAATTAAAATCGCTTTTTTTTTTCCTCCCTTCTGTGACTCCTTCCTCAGACTGAAAGTTCTCAAAGGTGTAAAGTCTGTCTTACCCACCTACCATAATGACCATAAAGTAAATCTTTGGTACTATTCACTACATGTGGTTGAATGCACAGATGTAAATGTTTTCTTCTCTCCTTTTTTCTCAATATCGCTTCAAACCACTTTTTTCCCTATCTTTTATGATAAAGGTGATAGAAAGTGAGGGAAAAATGAAGGTACTAGAGGGAAATGGAACATGACTCTTTTAAAAACAATTCATTATTAGTGATAGAAATAAAAGTCTGAGAAGAAAAAGACATTCTTGAAAGTTTTTGCAATTCACATAAAGCATGAGCTTCTCAGCATTAGGAAAAAAACTCACAATCTTTGGTACCTAAAAATCACAGTTAAAAAATAATAGCAAGGGGGATGGAGTAGTACAGAAGCTGTGTTCTATATCTCATAACTGAAAAACCAAGGTGGGGAAAACAGCCTTATGAAAAAGTAAAGTGACTTACCTGCATAGTATAATTCACTCCAGCTTTTATTAGGTGTTTGATTAATTCTGCTGAATGCTGGAAATGGACTTTTGCTGTAAGAAATTAAATTCTATTATTTGATGGAAATGCATTTATTAGAATTAGAACTTTTTATATCATTTTTTTTCAAGAAATTAAGTATTATACTTTACATACATTGCACATTTAAAGACTGATACCTGGTATGGGGCGCCTGGATGGCTCAGTCAGTTAAGCATCTGCCTTCAGCTCAGGTCATGATCCCAGGGTCCTGGGATCAAACCCCACATCAGGCTCCCTGCTCAGTCAGGAGTCTGCTTCTCCCCCTCCCTCTGCCCCTTCTCCCACTCATGCTCTCTCTCTCTCACTCTCTCTCTCAAGTAAATAAAATCTTTAAAAACATAAATAAAATAAAAGACTGATACCTGGCAGTCACTTGAAAATCAGTAAGATACAATGCTGATGAAACTTTAAGGTTTATAAAAAAAAATACTGAAACAGAAACTACTTCTAAGGCTCTGCTGATTGTACAAGATAGTATTTAAGTTTATTTTATCATCTGTTATTTCTGGTTGTTCACATATGTTACACAATTATAACAATTTTAATGCAGTGAATGCCTATCTGCATAGTAATATAGCAAACCATCTTTCTGTTCCTTTCTGAGCATTACTGGGGCTCAGTCTCCATTAGATACTGACATTCTGTTTTATTTTAAATGAGAAAAAAAACTACACCATGTTGAGAAATTAGTCTACATCTTGTTATTGAAGGGCTCAGTATTTAATGTGGATCATACTGGTTTCTTCTGTTTCCTTCTAGCTTCCCTCTCTGCCTGAACCTGAGGTCCAAAACTCCGAAGTATGCAGCACAGTAGACCAGGGTTGAATAGAACTGCCCTAAGTAGCTACGAAGTCTTGGATGAATCACTCAAATCTCTTTGTACAGCACTTTGCTCATATGTTGCCTGGCTATTTATTCCTATACTTTGTGCATCTTCAAATTTCTGTAAATAACTTTGTTTTTTTTAAAGATTTTATTTATTAGAGAGAGAAAAGAACAAGCACGAGCAAGGGGAGGGGCAGAAGGAGAAGCAGATGCCCACACTGGGCTCGATCCCAGAACCCCAGGATCATGACCTGAGCTGAAGTCAGGCGCTTAACTGGCTGAGCCACCCAGACCCCTGTAAATAACTTTTAAGCCAACCTTTTTTTAAGTGTCTTTGTCAGACTAGCTGTGACACTAGTTAATCCTACCACATAGCAGACAATAAAAGATTCCAAAGATCATTTAAATTTTTTTTAAAATCTACCCAAGATCCTTTCAACATCTTCCTATTGTACTCCATGGGAGTATTACCATGTTACTTCTAAATAAATTTGCAAATTGCTGAGTAAATGTAAGTTATGAGAAATGCTGATAAGTTGGGGCAGTGACTAAGGTAAAATGACCCCTTATATTGCTCATTTGTTATTTAAAAAAAAAAAAAAAAAAAATTGAAAGGGACTCCAGACTTTCTCTTCATGGATGGAACTGAAAAGATAAATGTACAAAAGCATAGTTTTTTTTTTTTTTTTTAAGATTTTTTATGACAGAGAGAGACAACACGAGAGAAGGAACACAAGCACGGGGAGTGGGAGAGGGAGAAGCAGGCTCTCGGCCGAGCGGGGAGCCCGATGCGGGGCTCGATCCCAGGACCCTGGGATCATGACCTGAGCCAAAGGCAGACACGCTTAATGACTGAGCTACCCAGGCGCCCCTAGTTGGATTTTTTTTTCTGTTTAGTTTCTGGTATGAAGCCTGTTGATATTTGTTGTTTGTCTACTTCCTAAAACAGGAACATTAAAGGTATAATTGTCTTAGTGAACTAATTTGCTGGTTGTTTTTGATGATGATATTAATAATGGTAGTATTATAAGGTCATTGAGCACCTATAATCTGCCAGATCCATATGAGGTGTATGTGTGTGCATGTGTTTGTGCTTTTCCTTTGAAGTGACCAGTGCTGAACCTCTGCTTGCATATTATCAGTGGGTGAAGAACCAGATCCGTGCCTAAGTGAGGTAGGAAGAACATGATTTACCTTAATAGCTGCAACATATTGACAGAGAAATTTGAATAGCACTAATATATTCTAGGGTAATGGCCAGACGTGAAATACTTTAACCTCAAATATAATTTATTCTCACAGTTGAAGCTTCAGAGCACAATGAAAAAGAGCCTTCATGCCAGATTCCAACCCCCTTTCTTTGAATTAGTGGTTGTATGATTTTTGGCAAGTTATATAAATTCCATAATATTTATTTTCCCAATCAGTTAAACAAGATAATAGCCCTGCTGCCCAATATTTTTGTGAAAATAGGTAGTATAACATTAAAAGCTTTTGGCACATTTTCTGAAATATACTCAGTACTTAGTTTCTATTTTTTGTTACTACTAAGATCTTAATACCTAGAACAAGATTCTAATGTCCATCAAAATGTTTATTCTCTTTTACATAATGTTTCATCCAACACAGGTATGGCATCATCTAAGTTCTATTTTTTAAAATTTTGTAATAGTTGTAGATTTTCAAAAAAGTTGCAAAGACAGTAGAGAGAGTTCATGTAGATGGCTTACCCAGTTCCCCCTATTGCTCACAACTCACATTATTATGGTCCATTTGTTACAAGGAAGAAACATTTAGATATCATGACACCTTAATCTCTTACGATCTACGAGAAATTTTCAGACTTGTTTTTGATGACCTTGACAATTCTGAGCAGTATGGGTTAGAATATTCCTCATCTGGGTTTGTCTGATGTTTTTTTCATGGGTAGACTGAGGTTAAGGGTTTTTGGGACAAGACCATATAGAGATAATGCCATTCTCATAAAGTGGTATCAAGGGTGCATACCATCAACATGACTTGTTACTGTTGATGTTAACCTTGATCACCTGGCTGAGATGATATTAAGTTTCTCCATTGTAAAGTTATTCTTTCTTCCCTTTTCCATACAGTACTTTTTTTTTTCTTTTTTTAAAGATTTTATTTATTTGACAGAGAGAGACACAGAGAGGGAACACAAGCAGGAGGAGTGGGAGAGGGAGAAGCAGGCTTCCCTCTGAGCAGGGAGCCGGATGCGGGACTCGATCCCAGGACCCTGGGATCATGACCTGAGCCGAAGGCAGACGCTTAACGACTGAGCCACCCAGGCGCCCCTTCCATACAGTACTCTTTAGAAGCAAATCACTAAGTGCAACCCATTCTGAAAGGGGAAGAAGAAAGTTAAGCTTTGCCTCCTTGAGGGTGTGTATCTACATAAATTTGGAAATTCTACCTTAGGAGGATTTTTGTCTCTTCTCTCCCATTTACCTGTTTATTCACACACATACACTCTGTATATACATACACTGTATATTAACATATATACATATCTACACCCTATATGTGTGTGTGTGTACATAAGTACTGATCTAAACTCTAATAATGACCTGGCATGCTGTAAAGTTAAGTTAAAGAGCTGATACCATCTTTGCTATTAAGACCTTTTTAGTGATATTCTCTGTGAAATGAGGTAAAACTACTGAGGCAGGACAGGATGGACCAACAAAAACAAGTTCAGATGTTAGGACATACTGATTCAAGGCTTTGACTCCCTTGAAATTGATTTTTCTCATCTGTGAATGGGGCTATAAATACTCGGTCCTCGGTTGTAAAGTATCACATAAATATATATGTATATATATTCTTTGACCCCTAAACACTTCAAAGTGAATATAAAATTATATTTATTACTAGTAATATCAATCACATCCATCTCCAATGTTTAAAGTGATGAAAAAAAGGGAAGTGACATAAACAAGCATTTTAAAAGGTTTTTGTTTTAACTGTGAGTGATCCTATCAGAATTTTCTCTGTGCTGGCATCTTTTTGCTGTCCTGCTTTTTTCAAAGTTACTTTCGATTTGAAGTGTGCTGAATAACACCCCACAGTGGTAGTCACTAGCCATATGTGGGTATTAAAATTTTAATCAATTAGAAATAAACAATTTAAAATTCGGTTCCTGATCATATTAAACACATTTCAAGTACTCAAGAGCCGTATGTGGCTGGTGGCTACAGTGTTCTACAGCGTAAATATGGAACATTTCCACCATCCCAGAAAGTTTTGTTGGATGGCGTTGCCATCGAGGCTCACAGCTTCTTTCCTCTTGGTCCCGACATCCTTCTTCTAACTTCCTATTATACATTGGATTCTTTGTGCCACTATCCTCTGCTATCTTCTTCAAAAAGTTTACAGGGCCCCTTGGAAGCAAGTTCTTAGATGTACCCCTTTGTTCAAGGTCAGACCCCAAAACAGCAGCAGCAAATACAATACTTACTGTCAGCAGTCCCATGAATTATTAATATATTTTCTTCTTTTAAGCCATGAATATTATGTAGCACACTGGATGCCTATAAAGGAAAGCACAAATATCTATGTATATATAGATCTACCTGTATTTGCAATTTGACTGAATTTTTAGAACAAATATACTCTTCTTTCTTCATTATTTTAAATTTGTTACCTGGTAAGTGCTTTCTTCCCGAGATGGCATACCAAGGTATCTTTCAGAGAAGGCTGAGGCTGGGACCCAAGAAAACAGAAATTTAAGAATAAACTAGAAACCATTTGACTAGTGTATTTCATTATTTAATTTCTACATTTCACATTTAATCGTCATGCTCCAGTAAAACTGATTGAATCAGGAAGGTGATAAACAGTTGAAAACCTCTCTGATAACACATGATAAATGAGCTCAATTGAGCTCTTCTGCATTGGGATTTTCTTTTTTACAAATCAATATGTTATATTAAGTCAATCTGTAGGAATTACTCACCATACAACTTCAAGTCTGTGATGGGTGCAATCACTGATCCACATTTAAAAAGCTTTTCATCTGATTTTAATATCATTGATGCAATATAGCCACCATACCCCTGGCAAAATAAAAAGTATATATATATATGTATATATATATAGAGAGAGAGAGTGAGAGTGTTTGTATCAGTTATCCTTGGAGATATTTTTAGCTTTTGATCACTGGTAATATACATAATAGAATGTCTTACAATGTCCCAGACCTGAGAAAAGAATACACTAAGATCACTTTGTACAGATGAAAATTTTGAAAAGAATTTAAGTTTTTATATAACACGCTATTTGAATAACTTTAGGTAAAATAGAAAATCAATTATATATCAACATTGTCCAATGTTTGCTCTTTGATTTCATGTGGTATATCTGGGAATAACTCCAAATAATTAAAAGGTAAGGAAATACAGCACTTATTAAATCATATATCATTTTCAGCAAATCACATATATACATTTAGTGAAATATTTAATAATGATAGTTATGTAGAATTAGGAAAGGAGAATTAAATATTTAAAATCTATTATCGCAAATACAGATTCTGCTTTCAGTTCCACACACCTAAATATTTGAAGGAAGTGAGGTTGATAATGTTGCTAGTTACATGAGTTGGATTATTGTTTAAATTTAATTTTAAATATCTGAATTTATCTTGCAATGCTGTTGAACTAATTTAATTATAAATTCTTAAAAAAATAAAGATGTCTAGTTTTCTTTTTTTTATTATATATATATTTTTAAGATTTTATTTATTTATTTGACAGAGAGAGCAGGAACACAAGCAGGGGAGTGGGAGAGGGAGAAGCAGGCTTCCTGCCGAGCAGGGAGCCCAATGTGGGACTCGATCCCAGGACCCTGGGATCATGACCTGAGCCGAAGGCAGACGCTTAACAACTGAGCCACCCAGGCGCCCTCCAGTTTTCTTTTGTAGCCTATGATTTGACCGGGAGAATTCCAGAGGAGATTTTAACAATTTAGTAGATTGGGGCTAAGGGCATGACCTACTGAGTTACATATTCATTTTAGAAATTAATTTTTAGCCGGGCTCTGGGCAATGTTCATCTTGCTGGACATCAGAGTACCCTGGGAGATATTTAAAAAAAAAAAAAAAAAAAAAAAATTAAGACCCAGGACTTAGCCTCAGCAATTCTGATGCAATTGGTTCATGATGAGGTCTACTTTTGAAAGATTACCCAGATGACATTAGTGTGGTCCAATGCGATAGGAATCTGTTATTCTCACTAAATTCTTGAGATGAGAAATACAGAATTTCATTTATGCTTATTTGGAACATTATTTTTAAAAGTGGGATGATTGACATCAAAGTCCCAATTGCAAAGATTACTTAAGTGTCTGAACGAACCTATGTGAAGAGTAGCAGAATATGCCACTTTGGCCTATTGATTATTTTGAGCTGCAGACACTTGGAAAAGAGCAAATGCAGGGAAAGGCTTTCTCTGAACTCCACTTATCTGCCTAAAGACGGATCCTCCAAAAGGAACTCAGTTGTCATAGATCCCTCCCTGGGAATTTCATCAACCTAGAAGATTGATTCTTTTCTTTTTTTTTTTTAGTACTCTTTTTTTTTTTTTTAAGATTTTATTTATATATTTGAGAGAGAGAATGAGTGAGAGAGAGAGAGAGCATGAGAAGGGGGAGGGTCAGAGGGAGAAGCAGACTCCCTGCTGAGCAGGGAGTCCGATGCGGGACTCGATCCCGGGACTCCAGGATCATGACCTGAGCCGAAGGCAGTGGCTTAACCAACTGAGCCACCAGGCGCCCTAGAAGATTGATTCTTGTCACTAGAAGTCCACAGCACACCTAGAGAGACTGTCATAAACTATTACCCTTCCCATCTATTCTTCTAAGGGCCCATTCCTCTTACCTAACAATCATTCACTCTCCTAAAAGGCCTATATCCTGCTCTCCTTTTCCTATTAAGGTGCTATTTAAGCCTGAATTTTAAGCCCACCTCAGAGAATTACTCACTTTTCCCTGCGTATGTCTCATGTATGTATGTCAATTAACTTCTGTTTGTTTTTCTTTTGTGAATCTGTCTTTTATTACAGGGGTCTCAGATAAGAGCTCAGAAGGATAGAAGGAAAATTATTTTTCTTCCTTTGCATATGTTAATTTAGTACTGAAACATTTAGCTAGTATCGAGAAGCTTGAGCAAATCTTCTTCACCAATTGGTAAATGAGGGAAATAAAATTATCCTTTACAGAGATAAACCACCACAGAGTGTCTTTATTCATTCTTTTTGAAAGATACAAAAATATCCTTAGGTCAGCAAAGTTCCGAAGCATTAGCCTTAAAAGTGTGAAGGCATCTAAAGAAAGAAGTGGGGAGGGGGGAAGAAAAATAATTTCCCTCTCTCTTTCTGAGTTCTCGGCTGACATGCCTTGTAATAAAAGATTATCAAGAAAAAAAAAGTTTATTAACATGAATACCTCACATACACATGGGAGATATCCAGTGAAACTGAATAATTCCTTGAGGTGGCCCAAGGCAAACCTCAAATACCATCTTTAGCCAAAGACAAAAGAAAGATGTTGGAGGGAGCTCAGTTATGGGAGGTTACCAGGAAAAGAACTATAATCAAGGTTAAGCTTTGTTAGGCAGATTTAAATCCAATTTGGAGTCAGTGCCTTCTCCATTAATAAAAGTTTCCTATGATTTAGAGTCAACCTTCTCATCCTGGTACAGGGAGGGAGACACAAATGGAGATTTCTTTTATAAATGTAAACGTCTCTTACAAAAGACTAATTTCTATTCTGTTTCCAAAGCTTCTCCTGTGTCTGCTGTTTCTTAAAATAATCAGCTCAAAAAAATCCTTATGCCAAAGAGGCATAGTCTGCTCCCCTTCAGAAGTATGCAGGGTGGGATGAGTTCTGCAAAGTAAGTAAATAGCTATTATAGAAGAAAAGTGTAGAGATCCCCTAAAAGTTCTGTCCTTAAAGGGAGCTTTTCCAGTGTATTGTCCCACGTTCATGGACACGGAGTTAAGACCAAGGTGTTGTAGCCAGAAGGTTTCAGGTATTTCCCATGGGGCAACACTGTTCCCACAGTGAAAAATGCACATCTCAGTTGGTAACTTTTCTGGTTCTAATTAGAGCAGACTTTTCAACTGATGATGATTTTGGTTGTTCATATAACCTGATGACTTTGAGAGAACAGCTGAATATTCCAATCCATAGAACAACTGTACATCACAATTTAATAATAGAAAATAATAAATTGGTATTATGTTTTTTATCTCTGTTTCACATAAATCTCAGTCTGATTATCTCCAGGAACTAAGTAGAATGGTGTCTTCCAAAGGAAGGGCAGATTCTAGAACAGTGCTTCAAAGTTCATTCCAATCACTGGGAGATCTTCTTAAAATGTGGGTTATGCTAATTCAGTAGATCTGGGGTGGGGCCCAAGATTTTGCATTTTTAACAAACTCCCAGGGAATGCCTAGAGGGAAATTATTTTTCCACATTTTAAATAATAAGTTCTTATGCTATAATAATATTAACAAATATACCTACCCAAACATCTCCCTAGCTTCAGTCAGCATTCCCTAGACCAGTGGAGATTTAAACATATATCTCAACGCTCTCTGAAACAACTTAGTCTGTGGAGAATGGGCTGTGGAGCTTTCCATGTGATTTTAAAGTGAAACTAGGGTTGTAAATCTTTGCTGCTGCATAAAGAGTTGCATTTTACTATTTTTTATATGAAAATTTGAGATTAATGAAGATAAATACTCTTTAAGATTTAATGATAGTGAAAGCTGTTGAATAAAATTCTCTCCATAGCATTCAAAAACCTAATCCAAAATGCTGCCTTAATTTGACTTATTTCAGCAAAATAACTTCTATTTTTAAATGAAAATCAACACTGGGAGGCATTAGAATAAATTAAATTTTAATTGCCCACCTTCCTCTGTACTATTTTATATTTACTCACTGAATGCAAGAGTAGATCATTAAGGAGTTCTCAGAAAATATATCCCGGACAAGGGTAGGAATCGGATGTAAGTTCTAGGTAGACAGAAGATGGTGATTTTAATTTTTAAAACAACTCCTGTCCAAGAGGAAGATGCCAGAAACTGTGGGTCATCATACTGACTTAGTCAATTGGAGGGTGTTTTTTATTTGATACAAATCAAAAATAGTTAATGGTATAGGCTTTTCTGTTCAATTGTGCTGTCATTTTATTGGTTTCTCAGTAATCACATTTTTCCATTCACTGTTACATCCTTTCCATTTGCATAGCATTTTAGCATTACTTATACAATTTTAACAGATTTATCTTTTAAAAATTTTTATTCAGTGGACCTAAATATTTCCTGAGAATATTTTATCTTAAAAAAGTTATATTGTGGGGCACCTGGGTGGCTCAGTTGGTTAAGCGACTGCCTTCAGCTCAGGTCATGATCCTGGAGTCCCAGGATCGAGTCCCGCATCGGGCTCCCTGCTCGGCAGGGAGTCTGCTTCTCCCTCTGACCCTCCCCCCCTCTCATGTGCTCTCTGTCTCTCTCATTCTCTCTGTCTCAAATAAATAAATAAAATCTTAAAAAAAAAAAAAAGTTATATTGTACCCATGATAGAAGAAACTGAATCCAATAGATAGATGGACATAGAGGAGCCAGGGGGTGGGGTCTGCAATAACCATTTTACTGAAAACATATCTTCATCATGTGTTTTCAGATATTCGTTAAGTGACTTTTTTGAGTACTCGAAAGTTGATGAATACAGTCAAAAAGAAATACAGAACTGAGAAAAAGGTTTTTCCTAGCCTTAGACTTAAGATTCTTTGTGAACCACATCACTTATGGCACACGATATTTTGAAATAAAAACACACTACTTATGAGTAACACAATTTATTGCATTGTATTATTTTACATTAAATCTTTTTAATTTGTTTAATGTTATCACAAACATTTTATCACAATTCTTACAATCCCATCTTGTATCCTTCATATTATATATATTAAAAGCTTTAAACCTTAAAAGTGACTGCCACTAACAAGCCCTATCTCAATTGAGAGTATATAAAACTATAAGTAATAATTACCTCCCTAGTTTTTTTCTGTTTTTTTTTTTTTTTTTTTTTTTTTTAATATTTATTAGAGAGCACAAGCAGGGTGGAGGGGGAGAGGGAGAAGCAAACTCCCTGCTTAGTAGGGAGCCTGATACAGGACTGGATCCCAGGACCTTGGGATCATGACCTGAGCCAAAGGCAGATGCTTTTGGTACTGACTGAGCCACCCAGGTACCCCCTAAGTCAGGTTTTAACAAGCTTCCATATTAATGCATATGTTTGTACTTTTTTTTTTTTAACCTTCCTCAGATATCCATGTTTCTTGCCTTCTCAAATTCCCTTTTCCTAGGTTAAATGTGATTTCTTAGTCAAATCTTTCCTGTCTTAGAAATGGAAATTGCTGTATCTTCCTTAATCTTGGGCCCCGATTTTCCTCTCTGCTTAATTTTCCTTAATTGTTCTATCACTGACATTTTATATACTTTACTGATTTTTTAAATTTGTTTCTTTCCTCACTAAACTAAAAATTCCCCCAAAATGTGTGTGTGTGTGTATGTGTGTGTGTCTGTACGTACGTATGTGTATGATTGCCATATGTCCAGCACTTTGAAAAGTAGTAGGCACATAGTAGACATTTGATAAATGTTTGTGAAATTAATTAATTTTATTCCCCATTGATGTAGCCTGGTAATCATAGCAATATCAGTTCTACATATGATGTTTATAGGTTTTGAATTTTGCCACCTACTCAATTCATGTAATTAGGTTGGTTTTTTTTTTTAATGAAAGTCAGAAAATTTTCTAGTTTTCTTAGCTTTAACACTTATAATGAGAAAATGAACATAAGAATTATTATATATTTGAGGTTAGGTTAGGTTCTGGGGATAACGATATGAAGTTTTTTTAAAAAAAAGTACTACCTATCAGTACTAGTGGGAAGTACCTAAGGGAGTAATGCAAAGGGATTTCATAACTCAAAGGAAGGCTGCTGAAAATTAATAACCTAGCCATTCAAGTCAATAATTTAAGAACAAAATAGATTTAAAAAGTAGAAGAACTAAAATAAGGATAGTAAGGGTAGAAATTAGTGAAATAGAAAAGACAAATTGAGAATGACTAAGCCAAAATATGGTTCATTAAAAGAGTTAAGGATGGGGAGATGGAAGAGAGACAAGCAGGGGGAATAAGAGCAATTAAGAGGAAGTGCTCTAGCAAAGGCAGAAGGGCACTCATAAACCAAATGAGGCGTCAAATGGGGCACTACCCCCATTAGTGAAATGATTAAACATATAATAGAATATATACTATGCTTCGACAACACTCTTTAAAAATATATGAAATGTAAAATGTAAAAATGTAAAAAAACTTTTAAAAATTCTTTTAAAAGTACTAAAACTGATTCCAGAAGAAATGGAAAAATCTTAATATTCTTGTATTGATTAAATAAATTTAAACATTAAATATTTCCAACAAAGAAAACAAAGCCTCATATAGCTTTGTAATCTAATTCCTAAAAAGCAAGATCATTACTCCCTAACCAATTTTATGAGTTTAAGATAACTTAATTTGACACTGGAATGAAATAAGTACATTCCAAGAAAAAAAAATATAAGAACTATAGAGTCTTAAAGCTAACAGCGTTCCTTTATATGATCAGAAAGCTAACTTCTAAATTATAATTCGGTTACAGATACTCATATTTGTTTAATTGAAATGGGATATTTTTTCCATGTAAAATCTAATTGTTTCATTTGTTTATATCCCATGTCTTTTGTATATTTAGATTGCCAGAGTCAGTTACCTGAGGCTCATCAGTTCCCTAATAAAGTGATAAATATGGGGTTTTGAACTTCTAAATCTGAGGCCTTGAACTTTATTTTTTCCTGTTTGCAGACTAAAATCTAACTTTTTGTTAATATGAAGGACTCCCTGAAGTCTGTGCCCAGATTTACTCTCAATGTTGTCACCTCTCATTCCTTTATGTGAGCCTTAATTATAGTCAATCACTTTATTTATGTTCCTCAACTATGCTCTCCCTGCTGACACTGGGCATTATATGAAAGCCTTCTCCTTGTCCTCTCCTTGCTGAATGACTTTTACCATCCAGTAAAAGTTCCACTTTCTCTGTGAGTCATTTCACAACCTTCGGAATCTAAATGTCTGTAGCAATGAACGTTTGTATAGCTCATTTGATCTTTTAGACTAATTTATGTGTGTAGTGAGTAGAGCCTTGAAATAGATAAGCCGTAAGTCCTTCATAATTATTACATGTATCAGGACCGTTAAAGAATAAAGTGTTCTCCACTATATGCACTTTTTTATGTGTGTGTGGTAAGAAACATATAATATTTACCAAAGTAACCACTTTTAAGTGCACAGTTCAGTAGTGTCAAGTGTTTTCACATTATTGTGAAACAGATCCCTGGAACTTTTTCATCTTGCAAATCTCAAATTCTATTACCTATTAAGCAGTCCACTTTCCTTTTCCCCTCCCCCTGACAACCACCATTCCACTCTCTGTCTTCATGTATTTCACTACTCTAGATAAGTTACGTAAGTGGGATCACACAGAATTTGTCCCTCTGTGACTGGTTCACTTCACTGAGCACAGTGTCCTCAAGGTTCATCCATGCTGTAGCATATGATAAGACTTTGCTTTATGCACTTGTTAATTTGTCTGGAGTTTCCATTTTTGTGGAATGATCACTTTCTTAGACATTTCCATTTTTTTCACTAATATCTTTATTGTTAGCGATGGGCTTTCATTTATTTGTTTGTACTTATGTCAGAGGAGCACTGTCCCTATTGATCTCTTGAGTATTACTGAGAACAAGAATAAAATAAAGCAAAGACATGATGCACTGCAGGTATCTGAAGTCAGGGAAGAATATGTGCTGATTTACATGTTACTCATTTGTTAAACAGCTTTTCTTATACCTGTCAGTGAACACCAGTAAAATTTATACTCCAGTAAGATGATCAGATATTCCTGTCATGTATCTCTGGGTTCATTTATGGATAGTAAAACATATTTTGTGTTTAAATCCATGAACAACAATAATTTGCTTTGTCTCTAAATTAAAATAGTACCAGATCTCCTTCCTTTCATCTTAGTGTCTGTGTGGTGTCTAGCCTCGTGATACAGATAAACTAGGTGACTAGTAAGTATCTATATGGAGTCTGTTTCCCTACTGTGAAAATGATGTTGAAACTGACATAAAAATTATGGCAGTGAGAAATAAATATCATGCAGAAAACACTAAAGACATAATTATGCATATTGGTCATCTTTTAGTTTCTAAGCCCTGTCCGTCTTCCCCAAGGCTGTGGTACTTGATCCTTCTATAGGGAACACCCTGCCTCAAGAGGTTTATAGGACTGGCTCCCTTTTGTTATTTAGTTATCAGCCTAAATACCACTTAATCCAAGGGACCTTAGTTGACCACTTAATTCTAATAACATTGGCCCTTCCTAGAGTTAACTTTTGTCTACTTATTTTTTGTTTTCCTTATAAGACGTACTGCTATATGAAGCTATGTTTTTAATGTATGTGTTTATCTATTTCTCCTTTCTAGAAGATAAGCTTTATGAAAACAGAATTTTTTGTTGTTGTTCAGTTGTTGTTCTACTTCTAATACCAGCGCCAATTAGATAATAGTTTCATGATTAATAAATGACAGAATGTGTATAGTATTAATTATAATATTACATTTTAAAGAATAGTACAGAGATATCATAGTAAAGTGAAGAAATTATATGTACAAATACAAACACATAATATACACATATGTATAAATATGTACTTTATATACATATAAAAATGCATATATACAACATTTCTATTTACCTTTCCAAAAATGCTTAATCTTTTGGAGTCAATGTATGGCTGTTTCAGTAAAAATCTGCAATGAGAAAAAAAATAGTTATATTTTCTTGAGTCAAATGCACATGGGAATTCATTCTGGGCATCCACACACGCGCACACATACACACAAAACCCAGATCTCAAATTAGGAATACTTTAGTGGCTGGAGCTCTATTCATGTTGAAGGATCATAGATTCCAAAATCTTGCTACTCAAAGTGATGGTCCGGTTGTTGATACAAATGCAGAATTCTGGGCCCCATTCCAGACCTACTGATCTACATTTTGACACTATCCTAGCCAATTTCTTTATACTGTTTTAAAGAACCTCCTAGATTTCTTGGTCACTCATGCCTGTGTGGGAATGGTATCTGTGAAAGTTTAAGAATTGTAGTTAACTGGGAAGTAATAGACATGTAGATTATTGTAAATAAATAATAGAGTGGTTAAATTAAGGTTTCTCCCATTTTTTTTTTTTAAGATAGGGAGTGGGGAGGGGCAGAAGGAGAGGGGGAGAGAGAATCTAAAGCAGGCTCCATGCCCAGCACAGAGGCCAGTGCTGGGCTCAGTCTCACAACCCTGAGATCATGACCTAAGCTAGAATCCAGAGTTGGGACGCTTAACCAACTGAAACACCCATGCGCTGTAAGGTCTCTCCCATTTTCATAAACCCAAAGTAAATTTTAATTCCAGAGGGGAAGTAAGATAATTGTTTTATTTGGTGCTAAGAGTGAAAAGTACTTGAAAAAATGCACTAGTCTATGTGACTAACTTAGAAAAACTGTCCATTCGCTAAAGGATAAATCTCTGAATCAATATTAGTAGTATTAATGTATCATATACTTAGCTTCTGTCATTATAAGAAAAACAGTAGGAAAATGTGCACCCACTTACTTCACAGCTGCTATTTGGTCCTTTACTTCCACTGAACCTAACCTTCGATGAATCTCCTGCAAAATTTTCAGGCCCTGGAATCCACTTCCTCTGCCATCAAATCGTGCCGTGATGACATTATCTGTGTCAACAAGTACTGAATCCCAGTCAATATGGAACTTATCTGTAACCAGCTGGCCTCCTGGTTCTTCATCCCTGTAAATACCAACACATTGGACCAAAACAAGAGCAATTGGCACTTTAAAAAGAGAAATTTTAGCTTTCACACAGTTTAAAAATTTTGGAAAAGACCCATGTGGGCTATTAAAATTTCTGTTAATTCTTGATAATAAACCTGAAAGTATAATGCAATTTTCCTTTGTGAAATTTCAAATAAAAAGTTCTCTAAAGAACTGAAAATATGAAACAAGATTTAAAACTGTTCTAGGAGATTTTAACTCATTTTTCAAATGAGAGAAATGAAGGAAAATACATTCACATTTCATTGTCATTTCTAAAGAATAATGAACAAGTTGACATAAAGGTCCTACTTTATTGAATTTCTTCCAGTGTGTTTTAGAAATGTCCTGCAGATGGTATACAAAGGCCAAAGGATCTGATAGAGATCAGAACCATTTATGGAGACTTAATAATAGTTTAATAAGCATATAAGGACAACAGACCCAAAATGAAGTCACTTTTACTAAATTTCACCAAAACTTAATACCTAACTTAAATGCAATTTCATCCTTTCCCAGGATTGGAATTTTAAACCAATCACATTGGAATTTCATGATCTATACTAGTGAGGTAATCTACATGTTAAGACCCTTCCCGTAGCCCCCATCTTCCCCTTAAGGGAGGGTGACCTGGGATGAAACAGTCTTACTTTCTTTTGCTAAAACCCTTCTGTCCTACCCCATTCCTGCCTATAAAATGCTTCCACTTTGTACAGGTCTATTTGCTAGATGGGATGCTGCCCAAATCATAAATCATTGAATAAAGTCAGTTAGATCTAAATTACTCAATTGAATTTTGTTTCTTAACACAAGAAATGGACAATCCTAAAGAATTTCTGACTCAAAAAGAAATATTGCATTAACATTCCCTGTATTTTTTTTTTTTTTTTTTTTTTTGGTGGTGGAATTCTCACTAAAGAGAATTTAAGGATACATTGAGGAAAAATTATTTTGCATCACTAAAGTTAACAACAAGAAAAGGAAAGACATATGTTTGAAAAATTTGAATGCTATAAGTAAAGAAAGACATGCAGGTTATAAAGCATGAACATTGTCTCTGGAGGGATAAGGTGATAAAATTTTAAAAAGTCAGATTACAATGGTACAGTGGTAGCTTATTTTCTAGAATATAGAAAAGGTAAAAAAGCAGCCTCGCATAAAATCACAGATTATCTAGATCCAAACCTAGATATAGTTCAAACATGCATTTGTCCATGTGATAGATTTAAAGAGCATCAAACATGCAATTTTCTGAGAACATCTCCAATTTTATTTGAGCTGCATACCAGAAATTTTCACCCTATTCACTCTCCTGTCAAGACACCAAACTTTCTTGGTTGCTTTATGCAAATGTGTTGCTTAGAAGCACCAGTACATTACAATACACAAACTAATCCTCATCAACAAGCTTTAAGGTTATCAGATTTGCTAAAGAAAATAACTTCTGGGCAGCAAATGGAACTGAACCGGGGCTGTGTGAAACCAGTGAGTTTAGGTAAAGGAGGAGGTAGGGAATGGGACAAAATAATGGACAACTAAAATTTACTAGATGCTGTTATCAGCTAAATTTTGTCTCTCAAAATCCATATGTTGAATCTCTGACGCCTACTGCCTTAGAATGTGACTGTATTTGGAGATAGTGCCATTCCAGTGGTGAGTCCATTAAAATCAGGACTTTAGGGTGGGCCCTTATCCATTTGACTGGTGTCCTTAAAAGAGAAAATTAGGACACAACAGAGACCTGAGGTACAGGAATCATGCAGAAGAAAGACCTGTGAAGAGGCAGCAAGAGGGAAACCAGCTGTAAGCCAAGGAGAGAGGTTTCAGAATAGGTAAAACCTGCTGACACCTTAATCTTAGACTTCTATTCTCCACAACTGTGAGAAAATAACATTTCTATTATTTAGTCTGCCCAGCCCTGGTAAACTACTACAGATGTCTTTTGTGGTTTAAATACTTAAGATCTATTATTTTATTTACTATATACTACCAAAATTTATTTAACCTTTCTGGGGAGGAAGTTGTCTTTTGCATGGCTTGTTACATGTATTATTATTATTCTGTAAATAAACTGTGCCATGAAAGTGGGTTAATCATGATCTCCCTCCATCCCCCTTTAAATCACACAATTAATGATGATCCCATGACCCAAATCTAAATCTGTTTTGTCCTTCCATGGTGTCTGCAATCTTTAGCTCTTCTTGTAATTTTATTTTTAATTTTAATTTTTAGTTTTTGCAACATTACCTCTTTATCAGATTATTGGGAATTGTTACTACAAATATCCACATGCTTGTGCCTAGAATTCTGATTGCCTAGTTCAGAATTAAGTGTGGAGTTGCTATTTTTTCCAGATTCCCAGGTGATACTGATATAACTTGTCTATCATTTGAGAAATAGCATGAATCATTATGCTTAGCACATTATGCCGGAACACAGAAAATGCTGTTGAACTAGATCTTTTCAGGGAAAGTAGGCTCATGTGAGGTTTTAAATGGAAGGACCTTAAAAAGCCTTTAGTTTATATAAAGATAACTATATTTTGAAGCTTGGGGATTTACTGCAAATACTAGAAAGCAAACCATGATTCACAGAGAATAAGGTACAATGATTAACTTCAGTTTTTAAGCTGAGTAAAAATATGACCATATGAGTCCCAATTTACTCTGAATATAATAGATAGGCAAGAAACTAAAACTCCCAAGTTTCAGTTTCCTTATCTTTAATGATGGCAAGATACTGTCCTTTTCCTCAAAGAGTTTTATATGCATTAAATGACATAATGTATTTGAAAATACTCTCTGAAATATAGTAAGCAATTTAAGACAATTATTAAATTCATGAAACAATAGAAACTTATTATTCTTTTGTTTGCAGCCAGTGTTGCTTATTTTGAGCATATATTCTTACAGTTAGAATTGGAGAACTGTATAAAAGCTTTGGGCCAATTGTGCAGAAATTAAACTGGGCAGTGTCTATGGATAAAGGTATTGTGCCATGTCATATGAGATATTATGTCAGATGGACCAATGATACCTAAAGACCTATAAGAAAATACAAAAGTGTAATCCACAGATCCTTGGGAGTGATGATCAGAGTGCTGTCCTTTATTAAAGCAGAATTTTCCAACTTTACACACTGGCAGCTGCTCTAAGGTAGCATTGTAAAATGTTTTGTTGACATGGAAGATAATTTTCCAATTTACTTATGAACTATTGCATTGTTCACAGCTACTTAATGAGTTTAAAACTAAGTGTAGACAAAATGTTAATAAGTCACAGACATCTTACGGCAGGCAAATAAATTATTTTTTAAATACAGTTTAAAATAACGCACATTTTTCAAACTTAATGATTAATAAATGGTTGTAGATTTTTATAAACAAAAACCTTCAATCCCTTACTCAGGCTTGAAATACCCAGAGGAAAAAATAACAATTCCACTCCTTTGGTATTTTCTCTAAATGGCCATTTTTAACTTTCAACCTTGTCTTCACAAGTTTTCAGTGTTAGAACACACAATGATATCAATACATTACCAGTCAATGACTTTAACACATTTCTCCCTCTAGGTGGGTTTGTTGTTCTTTCTTTTTTGGTGCATGGTACAGGCATATCTATTTCAAGATGAGTTATGAAAGAACATGAATTGGTTATGCAGAATTGGTGAGCTTCAATTTATTTGGTTCTTCTTTGTCTTTCCCTGAGTGTCATCTTCATCTCTTTTTTAAGCTCTAAGTGCTTATTATTTTTTTAAAATTTTAATACCAGTATAGTTAACATACGGTGTTATATTAGTCTCAGCTGTACAATCATCTTCATCTTTTTTACTATGCTATTTTGTTTTACTCTCTGTTTTAGAAATCTCTGGGGGCCCATAGAAAGGAGGGTGTTTCAAGGTTGAGAGTAGGGACATACAGTTTTGTTGAGGGTTGCGGTAAAAGAACAATCCCACCTGTTCTAAGCAGTGGAAAGATTGCAGCAACATGAAATGTGTATTTCCTAACACAGGCAGCAAAATCAAATTAAGACTAAACTTTTCTTAGAAGTTAAAGTCTTGGAACATTTATTTCAATACTTTCAGCACTAAGCATGTCTGTATGGATGAAGAGTTCAGGGTATGAGCATATAATAAAATATAGAAAGAAAGATGAGTAAACACAATATCCAGTAGACTTCTAAAATGACAAAAGAATCTTTATGACTTAACACCATGTACATCAAAACTGAATTCAAGTGAAGACCAACCAAACTGTTCAGACTACGTGTTTGGTCAGGTTCACAAATTGCTATTTAAATTCATGTAAAGAGAGCTGAAGATCTACATTTCGGTCCTGACTTTGTTAGGATATGCTGAGTTACCCTGAGTAATTATATGCTGCTTTTATTTTTATTTATTGTTTTTTTTGTTGTTACAAAGTAGTATGTTGTAAATAGTTAAGATCACATCCAGTACATTTTAAGAAGTCTTTTCCTAACCAGTAAAACTTGGTTACAATAGATGGAAGGAAAGTATTTTTGAAGGAGTATACTTTCCTTGACTAGTCTATTGCATGGCAGAATTTCTTTTCCTACATGGTAGAATTTGAAAACTGCTACACTAATAGCTGCTCATCTGTCCACTGGGGCGTGGAAGGAGGGGCCACAATAGAAGGTGAGTTTGACATAGGACATTTGCCTTAAACAATATTTGTCTTGCCTTAATCTGGAATTTACTTAATAGAAATTTATAGTTAGTGATGGTTTAGTTGTAACATATGAAGTTTGACCTCTTTCAAGCAATACATGCATAGTGATACATACATTGGCTAAGGGCTTCTTGGCTAATTCCTTCTATTTCTCATTTTAAGATCCTTAGATTTCTTCTCATGGGTGGATTGTTCTACATGCAGAATAACAAAATGACTTTTCTCATATATTTACTTATTGCAACATGTGAGAAATAACATTATTTTTTTCCTATCAGAGAACTGTTTCT